TGCCAGACTTCATCTCCAGTTCTAAGCAACTATGAAGACCTGCTACAGGTAAAAAGAGAAATAGAGGTAAAACCTTCTCAGTAAGAGTAGCCAGCGTTTCCCCAATAGATCCATCATCAATGAAACAGAAAATAGCTTAGAAAGGCTCCCACGTCTTTGTTGATTTCAATGTGGAACAATGAATGTTTCCCAGTCTATTTATGCCAAATAAAAGTTTTTATGAGAACCTGTATTTAGTAATGGTTAAAGCATCAGGCTAGAAATCATAAGATTTCAGTTCTAGTCTCCCGCCAACCCTTAGGAAAAACCCTGCAAACAAATCTGCAAGAATTAGTCAAAGCAGTCATTAAGGGATCAAAAAGTGACTTGAAGGTACACAAATGCAAAAATAATAATAATTAAAAAAAATAGCCTTTATAAATTAATATATATCAGACCTGCTTCCACTTAAATCTCTAATTAGAAATGATTCTTGACTCTATTTGTTGAAAAAGATATAATTTTATTAGAAGTCAAGTGCATTGCAATAGTGCATACCCAGACGAGAATCGCATGCCAAAATCCCTAAGTTCAATAGGTGAGTGTTATATACTGACACCATATTTCAAATGCCCTCTTCAGTTGATCTCATGCAAATACTGAACAGCATAGGAGAATGATTAGACCCCTGTGAGACCCATGAGATACAAATCTCCTTTCTTTGCTACCTTGTGGATGAGAGAGCAGATAAGAAAAAACAGCCACGACTGCACATTGTTACTAGCTTTGACCCAATCCCACTTCCAAACCAATTGAGACAGTACTATATCAATTTGCTCTTGAATTCCTGTCCTGCTATTGTAATAGAAGCTTTGAGAACATTATAAACCAACACCTTTCAACATGGGATGCAGAAGAGGTAGCAGGGATAAATGATCTGGGGGTGGGGAGGTGTGGGTGTCCCCTGGATTCTAGACAATAATAGTGGGAATAAGAAAGTCATGTCACTGCCATGTCTAGGAAACTAGTTTCTGTATTGTAGCTATTCCTTGCCTTAATATTTTCCAGAGATGATCTCTCCATAGTGGAGACCATATGTTACATGAAAAGAATAGCATAAAAATTATTCACATATGAGTCAATGTAAGACATATTGCTTACTTAATACCAAGACTGGGCTTGGAAAACAGTGCTTCAATGGCTCTGATTATTCCTGGGTGCTGTAATTTCAAAAACTGATAGCTTCTGTTACTCAGACGAAGGGGAGAAAAGTAGAGCTTTTAGAGCTCTGGACTTTGATTCAATGTCTGTGTGGATGATTGTGTGGCTTTGTCCTTTTTCTTCACCTAAATCTTCCAGGAAAGTGATAGGGTATCTCAATTTAAATATGGATAGGGTATTGGAAAGTATGAGGAAAATTAATCTGCAATATGTGTGACAAAATCAATTTCGACAGTGGCGTAGAAGGGATTCTGCATGGGGTTGCACTTTCCCTGAAAATTCAGATGAGAAAACTGGAAGTAGTCTTGGATATGATCGTATGTGGAGAAGCCCAGTTAATGGCATAAACCAGGAGTACTTTATTTTAAATTAGTGGAGATAATTGTAGCCAGACCAAGCCTCAATTATCCATGTGTTAGGTATTTCCAAATTGTATTAGCATAACACTTTACAGGCTAATGCTTCTGAAAGTGACTGAAAAATTGCAGCTAGGTGAAAATATGATTGACCAGATATTGGACATCTGAGCACCAGCTTAATCAGCTGTCTCTATGCATATTCAATACCTACATGGGTTATATGAATGCCTCTCTCCATCTACATTATCCACCCTGATCATGGTTGAAATCAGCTTTGAAATTGGCTTTCTTTGCTTCCCTGATTTGTAGGAGCATTTTCAGATGATAATACCACAGTGAGGCCTCCTATAGTGGCTCCTGAGCTTTGAAACTACTTTTCCTCCACTATTTAGTGGCTGAGTTTACACTTGCCCGAAGCCATAATGGAGTTAGCTTTTTTGTAGCTCAGCACAAGATATGGATCCAGAGCCCAGACATTATGGTTATAAATTGTGGCTTATGTCTAATGTGTGCATCCAATCAACTGAGATAGTTTCTCCTGGTCCATCTTAATCTTGGAAATTTCAGGCTGCTATCCTCAAGTGGAGGTGTGAATTGATATCATGCTTCGTAAAAAAAAACCAGATCAGCTAAGAGTGGTAGGCAGCATTACCAGCAAAGTTGTTTGAAAAACTGAAGGATCACCTCAGCTCCTGCTGCAAGATTCCTCACTGGAACCTGCAGATTCTGTGAAAGGTCTTAAGAGGCTATTGGAGGCCTACTTCAAAGGCTGGCTAGTACACATGTAACAGTCACCTAAAAAGGGTAGATCAGCTATAACCCTGAGTGTCAGGGCTCCAACATGCACCCCCATTCAAATCACAAGTCTCTAGCTGCATTTCGCAGAGTAAAAAATATTGATTTATTAGGAGTTGACATGTCGGTGCTTCCTGGTTGCAGCTGACTCTGACACATTTATTTCACCCTTGACGTTGGTCTTCCCCCCTACCCCCTGGATGTATATTCTCCAATGAGACACATCCATAGCCAAGAGTCATCAATCATGTTCTCCAGTAATAATCTTGCACGCCAACAGCAAGGCGATTATCTGAGGCATTTAAGGATGCACTGCTTCCCCCACTCCCTTTCTGCTGGCAACTAAAAAGACCAAAAGAGTATTTTTTAGTTGACACTAAGTTCATCTGTGTGACTTTTCATGACATGTGTATTGTAACAGCTTTTGACGATACCTCACATTAGCCAGTTCTCTTGGTGAATGTCTGCTTAAGTTTCCTGTGGTTTTAAAGATTTTAAAAACATAAAAGTGTTTGTTTAATTCTTCCAAGATCCACAGTTGATTAAAATGTCTTAAAAGAATTGGTAGTGTTGGATCTAAAGAAGGGTCCATTCATAATTCCTAAAGTTTGCCAACAACTAGACCAGAAAGGTTTCTAACTTTAATATCAAGCTGATCACAGTTGTTTGACAATCACAGATAAGTGCCATTCTAACAGGAGGTGCTGAGCTTACCACAGTAATTAAAAGCTACAGGAAAGCTTTCAGTACCAGGAATCAAGACTCTTTTTCTTTGTATATAGGATTAAAATCAAATATTCTTATTACATTTGCTACATTAGCAGGATGCAATTTAAGGCAGTTCTTACCATCTTTTTCATTTGCTTTTAATTTTCTTTTTCTAAAGGCCATTTAGAGGCTTATAAATTGTATTTTTTGCTGCATGTAGTAGTAACTGCAACAGCCACAAACCTTTCTCAGAAACTACACACCAGAAGTGCTTTAAAAAGAACACTTCAGTATGCAACTGAAATTATGCTTTATCAGAATGCAGCAACATTTGAGGGATATTCTGGGGAAGAATAGGATGATATTAGTGGCAGGCACCAATTTGGTCTTTAATGATATAATGGCTTCTGAATGAAGCCCTACCATAACATACCCTACCTAATACTTGAGGGAATTATGTATCAGGAAGTGATAGGAAATGGTGGCTGATTGATGATGGCTTTCTCTGCTGCATTGTTGTTGGTAACTTTGACTGATGTTTGTAATTGTACAATTTTTTTTTTAGTTTTGATGATGCATTTTTATTATCTCACATTCTGTGCAATGGGTGGCTACATAAATGTGATAGATAAATTCTCTCAGAAAAATCCTCGCCAACACTGAACACTGAATTTCAGAAACTTGAGTTTCAAGGTTAAAAACATTGCCCGCATTAGTTCTCCATATGCATATAGTGTCACAGTAAAAGCAGGAAACCATATGTCTTTAATTGAGGCTATTCTTCTGGTACAGGAATCATCCCCCCGCCCAAGTATAAGATGTTCTACAAAAAAGCAACCCACTTCATTGCTTCAGATCTGTATGAATGCAATAAGCATTTGTCTTTAATTGTGTGAAACATTTTTCCACTCCTAATGTTTGTAATATACTGTGATTTTTAAAGAATTATTAATATTTATCATTTATTGTTCTTTTATATGCTTCTAGAGTAGACTGCACTTTGGTACCCAGATTTTGGGGGTTATATCAACTTCCATAGACAAAGTGGAATAATTTATGAAGAAAAATGCAAAGCATGATATAAGTACTTGCATGACAGCCCCATTAAAAAAAAAAACAGTCCAGACATCAACCTGGTTGGTTCCTCATTCCTTTCTAATTACATTACATTTAAAAAAAATGTTTTGATTCATTGTATATTTTTCTTAGTTCGGGAATGAAGAAGCTATGTCTCTATAGACGTTGTAAGATTACAATTATTATGTGCCTTTTCCATTGGCCACTGCTAATTGGAGCTGATGGCAGTTCTAAACCAAATCATCTGGAGAATAACTGATTGAAAAGCCTAATCTATAGAAAAACCATAGAACTGTGATTTTTTTAAAAAAAGTTATTCTCCGATGGTCCCCTCTAGCAAAATGTCCAGGATCATTCATGCATTCTTACTAAAGAATGGAGAATGAAAGGCAGATGATAGGCATTGCCATTTTACTAAGATCCTTTTTTCTCAAGTTAATGCATTTGAATGTGCATCTTTTCCAGGTGGCTTTTACGTGCATCATTTTTGCTTTCTCTATATTTCACTAAAGCAAGTAAATAGCCTGCCACTAATGCTCGATCAAGTGGAAGAATGTTTACTGCACTAGACCAATCCCAGCCTCAGTGAACTCCGAGGCAGACTGCAAAGTTCTTGCACATTACCATTCAGGGCTAACAAGAGAGAACAATTTACTCAGAGCAAGTCTACCAAGTGTTTTTTTTTTTTATGGTAAAAGGCTTGGACCATGTATAACAGGATATGGAAGACCATCTATCAGACCAGATAACAAGAATCAGAGATGGTTCCTCATCTTCAGATCCCGTGAATTGTCCTTGTAAAAATTAAGGCCAGAACAGCCCAGCAACTCAAGTGTCAGTAAAGTCTGTGTAATACTGTACCTGTCTGCCATCTTTCTGGTTGCATGCCTCGATTGTGACTTGTGAGCCAGTGGAAAAGGAGGTGATTGAGAGACACTTGTCCTGCTGTCTGATTAAAGGGTCACTGAAAATCCACTCCTTTGGGGGCAGAAAGCAAGAAGAGAATTTAGCATAATGTGATAGTACAGGAGTCCCCATCCCCCAAGCCACGGCCCATTACCAGCTTGTGGCCTATTGGGCTGCGTGAGTGGCTGGCTGGAGTGCGTGCGTAGCTCAAGTTGTAACCCAGAGGGCACTTGTACGCATGCGCGCCAGCCTGCCACTTGCATAATTCAAGCTGCATGCATGTGCGCTAGCCTGCTACTGGTGCAGCCCAGTTCCCCTCTCCCCCACACCCACCCCAGCCAAGCTTCAAAGGTTAGAGACTGCTGTGATAGTACAACATTTCCTCAATCCTACCTGTTAAATTTATAGCCTTTTTTTTTTTAATAGAAAGCCTGACTCAAACATTTCTCCCTCTTACATACAATTGCCTTTCAGCAGGGATCTGGTGAAAGGAGAAAAATGGCATAAATCAGGAAAATGTGCCTCCTGTTTTCAGAAGAATCTGTAATTGCAGCAGCATTTTTGTATTACTCTGGTTGTTATCAGTGCTTGCAAAAAGTAATTGTAGGTTTCCATTGTAACAGAAAGCCCTCAAGGCTCTTAGGAAATCAGCTGCCTGCTTTCAAGGTTTATCTAATGCATTGACTAGGTTAGTGCCGTGAATGAATCTGTGGGAATAACACTTATTTATTTGCTTATTACTTTATTACTTGTTTGCTACTTCTGTTTGCAAAATATCTAAATTGAATAAACAAATAAATGCTGTCCCAGTTATTCTCTTAACATCTACCCAGTTTAAACCCTGACGCAGCCCATACCTTGAGAGATGAATGGTCCAAGGTACCTTCTTATGGCCATTAGTGATCCCTCTACCAACCCACCTAGTTTTGATCTGCCTCACTTTGTCTAAATGAAATTGGACAGAATTAGATATGATAGATATGGAATAAGTGCCTCCGCCCCGTATCAGTGGGGATGGAAAGATTCCCCTTGTTTGGATTGTGGTGCTCATATGCAAACTGCTAACCGTATTGTGCAAGATTGCCCATGATGTGCCTTCTATGGTTCCCTAGAAGATCTGCATGAAGCAATGCCAGAAGTGGTTACCTGAATACCTTAATTGGACAAGTAGTTATGAGGCCACTACTGTACCCCCATGGGAGTTTTACTTAGAATGTTGTGAACTGTGTATGTAGGTTTGCTTCTCTTCTATCATGTTCTCATCATACACTAAATGACAAATAATAATAATTCAATTTGGATGCCACCCAATGCCAACAGATCATTAAACATGGGTAAAAAGTGGTGGGAGAAAATGTTACTATTCTGTGTTAAATTGAAGAACAATGCTGGTTTAATAGTGCAAACTCAATTAAGCCAGATATTGCTGATGTTCTTGGCAGCTGCCATCATTTTAAAAAGCACTGTCCCATGGACTGGAATTGTTTACATTGTGTTTACCAGTATACAAATTGCTAGGATGCAAACTCTGCACACACATAGAATAAGTACACTTTAAATAAAATTACTGTGGTGAATAAGGCAGTTATTTTTTTTTAAAAAAAAAGATGGTCAATATCCATATAAACCACTCAGCAATGATATTTTTAAAGGTCATTTTTTGAGTACAATGCCCTTTGAAAAGGCAAGAAACTATTTGCATATGTGAAACTGTGAAATCATGATGTAATTTGGAAAATAGCAATTTTGGTACTTTGATTTATTTAGCTTTGAAGCTGCCCAACTCCACAGCAACACTGAGCAGTCTACAAATAAAGAAAACAAAGTATTTCAAGAATAAAATATGTTTCTTAAAATAATCTGGTACGATTCAAAATTCCTCACTTCACAGGGACTTCACAGCATTCTAGTTAGCCCCCTCTAATTGGACAATAGTTTGGGACTATTTAGTCTCCTGCAAGAAGACGGTCTCCTATCTCCTAACAGCACGGGGGGAAGGAAATTATTGCTGATTTTTTATGGTAGTATACCACAGAGTTTCCATTCTCTCCATAATTGTCTATCACTGCACTAAATCAGCTCTGAAATGCTGCATCCTTTAACACTCTGAAAAGGTGGACTGGGGTCTATAAACACCATAATGTTTCTTCTTCTCCTCTTCTACCAATAAGAATATTTTGGCAGGAAGTGAGCTGGCTCCATTTCATTTACTGGTCCAAAGAATTCAGTTTTCTCCATTGGCTACTTTTGGCATAGGCTTTACTACAATAGAGTCTGCCCCTTAATTTCTGGAGCAGAAAATCATCTTAAAAAAAAAAATTCTTATACAATAGGAGAACATCTCAGCCAGTTTTTAATCTGTTTCATCAGCTCTTGTCTATGGTGTCACTATATGCAATGGATCATTAGGGATGCATTTCAACACCCTTAACAAACCAAACAAGAGTAAAAGCCAACTTCATTGATTTATCCTCTCGCCTAAAAACTATCCGTTCCCATAGACAATTGATATATGCTCTCTTTGTTTAAATAATTCCCTGGACATAGATACAGTTCAATGAACTTCAGCCATTTCAAACAACCACAAAATAGCTCAACAAGTCAAATGAAAGAGCATGCTGGATGCTGTCTGCTCACTCATTCCCAACAGATGCAAGCAAACTTTTGCTGGCACCTGGTATTGTATTGTAACCTTTTGCTTACTCAAGTTGCTAGCATCTAAAATAATTCCCAGGAAAAATCCTAAATTTAGACAATGGTATTAATTTATACCATTTTGTTCCATCATCCCTTGGACTATATAACTGTTTCATTGCTATCCATAAGAAATTGCAGGGAAAGGAGCTAATATTTCAAGCTATTTCTGGATATTTTCAACTGACTTTTATTTAAATACAGTACAGTGATATATAATCTATTCAAGAAAAAAATGAGCTTAGTATATTCTCTAGACAATTTGTCATCTTTTATTTTCCAACATGATGCTCAGAGCTACTCCCAGTGCAATGCTCTCTCTGACTTTTTACACTTTAAAGAATTCTTTTAATTTCTTTTATAGAAAAGTGGCATGCTGCCAGCGTGATTTTCATATCTAGGAATGCTTCTGGGCTCAAATGAGCTTCAAAAGATTTTTTACAAAATAAAAATAATGAGTAGCAGCATTTGGGTACTTAAATTGGAAGTATGTTCATTGGCATGGGAAAAGGACAAAGATAAACAGAGGTAATGGAGGAAGTATCTATACATTGGGAAAATTTATTAAACATTGATTTCTAATGATTATATCTTTCATGGCAGTAATTTTTGGAATAGGTAAGTCATTTGTAGAAGTTATTTGATAAAATCTTAACACTGAAGCCCCAAATGTTAGGGAATCCCTGAAGAATTTCACATCATTTCAGGATAAAATTCATCTTGTGCAGCAGCATCTTTGATTGTTATACCAGCATTACCTGTGATAATGTATTAAACAGAACCTGCAACAGTATAAATATGCTGTTTGATCTGGTAATTTAAAATTGACATTTTTTTCTTTAAATTTTTCTTCAGGAAGTATTATTTGGGGCTTGTAGGCATTTCAGGGAATCTATCTGTATAAACATGATAAAGGTAAATGCATACTATGGTCTTCACTGTTCATGTGTGCAAAGAACTACATCAATATTCTTAGAACATGCACTCATTTCGTATTCTCTTTCTTCGTAGACTGAGTTTTATAGAAAAAAACATTGCATCTGAAACAACTTTAAAAAAAGAAGATGTTGAATTTCAAAATATCATCATTATCATACTCTAAAAGAAAAGTATTTCCACCCTATGTTTTCCACAGGTGAGATGGATGGCTGTACAAGATGAATAGTTTTTAACAAAAATCCTATTCTACAATCATAGTTGTCTATAGCTTTCTTTCTTTCTCTTTCTTTCTTTCTTTCTTTCTTTCTTTCTTTCTTTCTTTCTTTCTTTCTTTCTTTCTTTCTTTCTTTCTCTCTCTCTCTCTCTCTCTCTCTCTCTCTCTCTCTCTCTCTCTCTTTCTTGCACATTTATTGTGTTATCTTGTAATTAAATACATCTTGAAGGTCTTCTAAATATATATATATGTATCTGGGTCACCTCTAATTTGTTTTTCCATCCTTCCCTACAGCTTTCTTAATGCCACAGAATTGATCTTTGCTTGTCCTGTGCAGATGGCATTCCTATCTTGCTGGAACCCAATTCAGTGAGAGGCACACTGCATGGCTGTCTTTTTCCTTAAGCTTTGTAGTGAATGGCTGCAGGCAATTCTAATTTTGTAAGCCATCCAGAGTCAGTTGGTTGAGATGGGTGGCTATAGAAATTGAATAAATTAATAAATAAATATTAAGGGTTGAATAAAAATCAGCCAGTTTCATCTAAAAGTTAAAACACTGGGCCAGGCATAAAGAACCCCTTGCATGGAAGCCAGCTAGTTGACTTTGGATCAATCATTCTCTCTCATTTCTAGGAAGAAGGCTATGGCAAATCATTCTGAAAATCTTGTGTCCCCCCATCCCCCCCCCTCAAAAAAACCTTCAGGAAGTTTTGTCCATGAAGTTGACAGGAGTCAAGTCTGACTCAAAGGACCTCCATCTCGCTCTCTCAAATCAGCAGATAGTTGATGAGAAGACAAGCAATGTCTATTTGGGGATTTGAAAAAAGTTTCCAATTCTATAACGTTTCATATATTATTTTACCACAAGGATTCCATTTCATAACACTTCTGGGAGGAATTATATATTTCTTCCAGGAGTTCAAGCAGCATGCATAGAATTCCTCCTCTACCTTATTCTCATATCAACTCTTTTGGGGTGGACTGGACTGAGAGATAGTAATGGTGCTAAGTAAGCAAGTAAACCTCCATGGCTGTTGGTAGTCTTGAATGTGGGTTTCTTTTTGTGTGTGTGGAAGTCATTTCTTTTAAGATTTGTTTCTGTTGTTGTACTATATTAATTATATTATCCCAAATTAACATTCAGTGATAGAATCTCAGTATTAGGATTGACCGGTATCTAATTACTTAATCTATCTATCTGCTGGATAGCTGTGCTCTTAACTGGTTGCTGGAGTATAAGTACTTATATATAAAAATATTATCACTGTATTATTTTAAATCCAAATTCTAAATCACATATATAATTTTGCAAGGTCTGTGCTCAACTTCCATACATAACTTCATGTAATAAATATATATAAATGTTATATCCAAATCCAACTATATTTAAATATTATAAATAAATATGTGTATTTATCTAACCTTATTTTAAATATTCTTAAACACAAACAGTATTACATTAATCCCCAAGTAGATTAATTGTGGTCACACAATAAATTATAATATTAATACATAAAATCCTATACTTATTAATTAAATAATACTTATTGTTCTTACTATTTTCCCTATATATCTAATCAAAGTATAACTATCACTATTATTAATAAATCAATTAATTCAATTATTTAACAATCAGATACAACAATCAATTTTCCTTTCCCCAGTATGTATATTTATAATCATTATAAAGAGAGAATAAAGGAGAGATAGTTCATCATAGTGCCAGATGGTGAGGGAAAAAGAAGAAGAAAAAATTGAACAAATGTATACAGAAAAAGGGGAGTAAAAAAAGGAGGAAAGGGAATTTTGAAGTAAGTTTTTAGCTTTCCATCTCTAAGTTTAAGAGCTTTCACTCCAAACGCACCGGAAGTGGAGAGTTAAAAAATGCTGAGTAGTGACTGTAATTACACGGTATCTCCACACATTCGGAAGCTTCCACTTTTACGTTTTGTCTTAGCATTCCTAAGTTCAATTTTCCTGATTTTCTTCAGATGGAACCACCTCCTCAATTAGATCAGTATGCTCCCTAAGGGCTGTTAAGTGTTTTATATCAGTTATATTGTTACGATAACTTCAGGGTTTCTAAGTATCGCCTGTGGCGCCACACTGTCTCTGTTCCGTCAGCTTCGATCTTCTTCCTGTCTCTGCTTTAATAAAGTCTATCAGAATAAAAATCAAATGAGATAGTCCAAATCCTCCACAACTTCCAGGCACCTTCCAGACGCTAGTCTCCCAACCCCGTAAACTTCCCTTTTTACTTGTTATTGTCCTCTCTCTCTCTTCTGTCTGACAAGCCCTTTCACTTTCACTTGCCTCGCATCCACTTTTTGGCCGCTTTCTTTTAGGGCTCCAGACAGACACTTGTAACAGCCTTATAAAAGTCTATGGCATTCCAATCCTCCTCTCCACTGCTAATTTTCTCTGCCACACTCTTCCCCAATGATCTCACAAACTGTCACTCACTTGCTTCTTTGCATCGGTAGCAGTCCAGACTTCAGAGCCGCCATTGATAGGGGGCTGTTTCTTGCTCGTTGGGCTCTGGAGGGCTCCTCTTTGCTGCAGGGGAGTTGCCTTCCCCACACTGCAACCCAAGTCTCTCCCATGCCGGCACGAATCTCTCCAGGACTCGTGCACCCTCAAGGGATCGTGCCAACCGCAAAAAGAGATTAACTGAAACCACTGACGGGCTTCTGCACCTCTGTTCATCCTTGCCTTGCCACCGGAAGTTCCGAATGTGGGTTTCTGCAGTGCTGATTGGGCTGGCTGTAGCTGCACTATTCTTTACAGTTTGCTTGAACACTGAGGCATGGTTGAGTGATTATCCTCAAATGACTAACTCCCTCTGCCCGAACTACAGATGTGCTGATGTACGCTTCAAATATACATATGTTTTCTCCAGGACATTCTACAGAGCAGAAAAGAAGACTAATGGGATGAACTTTTGATGACCTTACCTGAGTAGCAACAGGGTTGTTCACTGACCCTTTACAGCTTCCAATCCCAGCTAGAGAATTTCCTGCTGTATCCTGGCCTTGAGATTCCAAACAATTTGCTCCTTGCTTGATGATCCCTGGAATCAGTTCCTTTTCTGGGACTCTGAGTTATTAGAAAGATCATCAAAGACAAAAGAAGAAATTATAAACATCTTGTTTATTACATACTCTATGCCCACATCAAATCAGTAAATCAGCCATTCCAGACAAGTAGGTTGGGCAATTAGGCCAAACTTCTCCAAAAAGAGGAAATTTGTCACTAAAAATGCTAGTGAAGAATAATGACCTACTTATGTCTTTGTAATGCATATACTAATTTATAGGTAGAGGTGTTAATAAAAAAACTAATGACTGTAATATTATATAAATGTTATTTATAAAAATAAAACCTATTACTGAATTTTAAATATTATATCTTCCTCTGTCTCTGAGAATGGAAATTCAATATATTGCATAAGGAAGATGGTGTCCAAGCAACCAGAGTGCCTTCTTAGTTTGCTGCCCACCTGCTGAATACCCATGATACATTTTCTCATCAGTTAGACTTCTTTATCTTAAAATGGACATGGATCGAACAAATCTTCAAATAACAGGCTATGAATAGGAATCACGGTAATTCTAATTATATCTAATAACAAGGAATATTCTATAAAACATTGTCAGAGCTATTTTTTAAGAAATAGCCTTTCTTCTACCGTGTTTGTGTGTGTGTTTATGGAGTGTTTAAGGAGGGAGTAGCAATTCTGATTGAGGGGCCTGCAAAATTCTTTTTTAGGGCTGCTTGGTTATCTTCAGCCCTCACCCAGCACTCAGCTCTCACCTGTGGCTACTTGTCGCTGTATTACATACAGCAACCACAGATAAAATGCACACTAGCCTGTTTTCTTTGACCCCAAAGGATTAGCAGAGAGAGAGAGAGAAAGGGAGAGAGGGAGAGAGAGAAAGGGAGGGAGGGAGGGAGGGAGAGAGGGGGGGATGGAGAGGGGGAGAGAGAGATACAAAGAGAGAGAGAGAGAGAGATGGAATATACATTCATCTCATATTTTCTGTTTTCTTGTATGTATACAACATATTATTATTTTCTACTCTTTCTTTGCTAAAGTAGGTTATGTATATTTCAAATCTGTCTTTAAATTTGCCTTTATTTAACAAAACATATATCTGTTTTTGAAGATCTTATACTTCTTTTGCTGCCTGCAACCTGAGTTCAGCCTCACTGCGCTGTCTACCAATTAGTTTTCCCCACATAAACTCTCTTTTTTTTTCAGAGTTCAAAGAAACCAAACACAGAAAAGACAGGTCAGGCAGAGTATAATAGGAGGAAATATTTTAAAAATAAATTCCCACTGGAACAGCCAAATTAAGGAAATAGTCGGTGCTTTCTTATACCACAGTGGCAAAATACATATCATGCAGTTTTGTTGACAGGTAAAGAATGACTCACTTGAGTTCCGGATAGACATTCTCCAAATACCATTGAAAGGATTTACAATTCAGCTTCCTGCGTCGTTCCACTCGGTCTGCAATACTAGAAGCAAAAGTAGCCTATATCTATCTTTTTGTAAGCATGAATAAAAGAGAATTGCGTGGCACAGCAGCACACAAGTACATTTGCAGAATAATTAAAAGTACAGACAGCACTTCTAAGGTGCAACCACATTGGAATCAATATGGTGGAAGCTATTCAAAGACAAATTTGCATGGTGCTTGTGCTTATAGAGTTGCCCATGAAAGGTCATTTGATAATCTTAGAGCAGAGGTGGGGGAATCTTTTCCATCTGGCCACCGTTTTCTGGTTTTTTTTCCTTTTCCCAACAAAAATAATTCCTTATTTTTCTTTCTCCATTAATATTTTTATGGTCTAGAACAGGGGTGTCAAACTCACGACCCATGGACCAGATGCATCATGCGCTGGCCACATCCCACCCCCAGTTTAGCAAAGGGGGAAAAAGTTATGATACATCACGTGATGATAATGTGACACCACGAGTTTGACACCCCTGGTGTAGAAGATCGTGTGCAAGATAGAACACATCGCAAAGTGACTGCATGGGTGACAGTAATGTAGCATGTGAAATGACAAGGATTTTGTCATTTACTTTTTTCTTTCTTTTATCAGAGTTCACTCTTAAAGTAAAAGTGAGGAGAGAAAAAATCCTATTCAAAAAAACTCTTGACTCCATTAATAAATACTGTATATACCAGAGATTCAAATACTGGTTTATTTGTCAATTTTGCTGTTTTAATAATCCATGTGATTACTTCTTTATTGCTTGAAATGTTGATGTAATATATCCATTACTGATTTGCTTTTTAAAATAATAATAATAATAATAATAATAATAATAATAATAATAATAATAA